ACATGCATACTGAAACATATTGTTAAAAACTCTTAATAGAATAACATATCGTTATAATGTTCCACTTGTCTTGGAACATTATACTAAATTCATAAAACGCACATTTAATGGTTTCTTAAATGATCCATGTGGGTTGGAACGTTTTTGCAAAATCTTTATACATTTTTTATTTCTGCAAAAATGTTCCATGTAATTTGAAACCCTTTAGATTAATCCATACTGTTTTTTTAAGCTGCGAACACTGTTCTAAATAAATTGAAACCTTTTATTATAATATATTATTTTCATATTTTTTGCTATAAACAATCCACATATACTTGATCCATTTTTGCTATTAAATATGTTCTAGAGAAAAAGATATTTTTTACCAAAATAAATAACTATGGTATATTTGGACGTAGTAACGCGAAAATGTTCCAACCCACAGCAACCCCAATTTGCAATTTACACACTTTTTCCCTGTAATTATTTCAGGCAAATACTATTGGTTTAACTATGGAATGCCAAACTGATTATTGAATGATATGCATATTTTTTGTAAATACATAATACAAGGGGCATATAAATAGGTAAAACGAGTTTGAAATGTTTTTGCTAAATTAATTTTGTATGAACCTTGTTAAATAGCAATTATGCATAAACTTTCCAAAACGAATTTAAGTGTATTATTTTATAAAAATAAACCAAAAAGAAATATGTAAAATAATAAATAACAATGAGGAACATACAAAAACAACAAAAAAATATATTTGAAAATGTATTACAAAAAAATAGAACGTGATCTTTTGAGCTTAGAACCTATGCCAAAAATTTGTTGATATGGTTCCAAAAGTTATCAAAAACTTATATTATAAACATTCAATTTTCATCATCGTATTCTATGATCTCGAAGTCCGGAACTCCACCAAACCCATCAACATCATCAGTGCTTCTTCAGAACTTTGAAGCGTTCTATAAAATTGAAGGCAATCCTCGGGTATGTAGTGGTACATGGATTGTAAGTCCACTAATTTCGCTGGAGCAATCGGTTTGTCGTTAGGCCACAATAAGCAAAAATCAGATTCTTTTATGTATTGCAGTTCTCGTTTTATTCTTTTATCAATTTTCAACTCATTGAAATCGTCTTCCATCGTAGACCGCATAAAAATAGAAAACATTTTATCTTTATCCAACTTAATTTCTTTTGTATGTAGCCAACTAACTTTAGATGAGTCTGTAAACTTCTTCCTATTGATAATCTTCTTTTCCAGTTTAGTTGTACTAAAAAAATCAGTCTTTGTCATTTTGTAAACTTGAAGAGGTTTAACTTTTTTACTTAGTTCTACAATAGTGGTATCCATAGTGCATTTAATGATACTGGGCATTGTTATGTATTGGTAGAAGGAGAGGTAGAAGAGGTGCACAGGAAGTGGATTGCCTTCAATTTTATAGAACGCTTCAAAGTTCTGAAGAAGCACTGATGATGTTGATGGGTTTGGTGGAGTTCCGGACTTCGAGATCATAGAATACGATGATGAAAATTGAATGTTTATAATATAAGTTTTTGATAACTTTTGGAACCATATCAGCAAATTGGCATAGGTTCTAAGCTCAAAAGATCACGTTCTATTTTTTTTGTAATACATTTTCAATTTTTTTTTGTTGTTTTTGTATGTTCTTCATTGTTATTTATTATTTTACATATTTATTTTAGATATATTTATAAAATAATACACTTAAATTCGTTCTGGAACGTTTATGCATAATTGCTATTTAACAAGGTTCATACAAAATTAAATTTAGCGAAAACGTTTCAAACTCGTTTTACCTATTTATATGCCCCTTGTATTATGTATTTACAAAAAATATGCATATCATTCAATAACCAGTTTGGCATTCCACAGTAACACCAATAGTATTTGCCTGAAATAATTACAGGGAAAAAGTGTACCGCTAAAACACAAAATTGCGTTTATCTCAAAATGGGGTCGCTGTGGGTTGGAACGTTTTCGCGTAACTACGTCCAATTGTGGTGTTCAAATGCATGGTCGGTTATACGCTGCCGTACAGCCGTCTCTTTTCCTCGCGGTCCGTACCTACTATATTGTTAACAGCTGATTCAGAATTGAGCGTAGAGTCAAAGGCATAAGGTCTATATTCTTCCGCATAAAGCAATTAGTCGTAAAATTTTACGAGTTTGCATTTCGAACTGTCGTATCTCTTTTCTCTTTGACGCACGAGTTTTAATTATGAAGACCATAAATCATATGCATTAGGCACTTTGCAGACGACGGGGCGGGGCGGGCTTTTTGTCCGCGAAGTAATAAAAACCGCGTCTGCCCGTCGATGTCTGCGGCTGCCCTTGCCGCGTACACAAAGCACACGACGGGCAGAGGCAGTCAGTTCAGGACGTTCGTTCTAGTGAATAGTCCATCACTAAAAAGCGCGTGGCGCGGACTGAGCTAGCCGCCCCGCGCCTCCGTCTGCGTTACTGCATATAAACTGGTTTGTATGATCCACGGCGGGCAGCCGCGGACATGCCGCGCCGACAGTGCCCGCCGGGCATCTGCAGCGCGATCTTTTTGCCCTGTGTGCGTTTGTAGTATAGGATTCACTTTGTGCTATCGTTCGCGGCGAAATTGACCGGCCCGCTCCGCCCCGCCGTCTGCAAAGCGCCTTAAAAGGTTACTTTCAATGTTTAAATAATGCCTTATATTGTTTTTGACTATGCGATCATCTTACGGAGCTCCGGGGATCATTCAATATATCTTTTGGACAGGTATCAGCCACGATTTTGTTCGTGTTGGTGTATCTAGGGTATTTAATAACGTTGCATGTGCCCCATGACGCCCCCTTTGGAACGCGCTTGATATGACCAGTGGGCCAATCGCCTAACTGGATTGCTTTGGAAAACGCTATCGCTTACGATTTCATTTTGTTATTTCTAACCGCCGAAATACCTCACGCTCATTTTCTTTAACATTGTTATTACCAATGCAAAAGAAAAAAAAAGAGCGCGAGGCATTTGAAAACCTCAGGGGGCTAGAAATAACAAAATGAAATCGTAAGCGATAGCGTTTTCCAAAGCAATCCAGTTAGGCGATTGGCCCCCAGTATCGTGATTTAAACAGAAAAGTAACGGCGTCCAGTAAGATTTCAATATGAAATAACAATATTTTCCTTGTTAAGCTTAGTAACTAAGATATTTATGTGGTGTAATAGTTTCTAATAGGATGTTAAGCGTCAATTTAGGTTTCTATTCCCATTTTCCCCATGGAGCTGAAATTTTGTGTAATCCCTAATTAGTAGTATAATTATGTAAGTCTGGTCAATGCAATGTTATGATAAGATACCATTAAGCTAATGATGGGGATAAAAGGTAGAAGCCATGGGAACTCAGAAATTTTGTAACACTTCCTACTTTATTGAGTTTGTTGTCGCTTGATTTCTGTCTGTTGAATAAATAACCAGTTATTAGTTAATACTAATGTAATTATGAAAATAATTATTTTGTATGATTTCAGATTACTCAAGATTATAAAGTTGTCTCAAAAATTAAAAAGAAGAGAAAACAGAAAGGATCAAGAATAGCATTGAATTTGTTGTGACTAAAGGCCATTTAGGAGGTTACTGTCCATTTCATTCAATTATGATGCCAGAAATGATTATGGACAAAATAAACATTGTATAAGACTGCAATAAATTATATTTCTTTTCAATGTGCTTCTTTTCAGTTCTAAAAAGAAAAACAATACATACTTAAGCAAGTTAAAGACAAATTGTTGATAAACTGACAAAAACCATTATACCTATTATCCAGCAAAAAGGTAAAATAATTTGAAAGTGTACAAAAAATTTAGATAGGTACCTATGTAGTTTCCACCACTCCACCTGTGTAAATATTAATGAGTGCTACTTATTTACATAACACCCACATATATTACATCTATAACTTACTCGGATATAAAAGATTTAAAACTGTGTTAACTGTATAGGTAGAATTAATTAGGTTATAAACGACTGCTTAGCAATTTTAATCCAAATACTATTAAGTTTTTTTTACATTAATCAATTGGAACAATTTAAGTAATGTTTATTTCAGAGATTTATAACATTATTAGTCATAATGTAAGCTTTTTCAGAAACAACACAAAAGTTACTATGTGAAAGTGAAGTTTAATGTAATGATGTTCCACATTCTATGAGATCTAATATGATCTAAGAGCTTAAGTAAATTTCATAAACTTTCTAAGTTTCATATTATTTTTAAAATCATGAATATTGCATGAATGCAAGATGTAACACAGTAAAACATACAAGTCATTTTATAAACATAATGTTAAAAAATGTTACTATTTGTTGACTGTTTGTATTTTTCAACAAATTGTTTTTCAGTATCTTTTTAGCATAAAAGATCTTATTGAATTCAATACTTTTGTTGTCTAAATTTTGTTTAATAAAGTATTTACTTAAAGATTTAAAGTGACTTTACTAAAAGTAAATATTAGGGTGTTTCTCGATCAAAGGTACTCACTATTTTATCTACATTAATTTATTTGGTTCCTATGAAAAACTTTTATACCAAAATTTAAGTCTTCAAGTTTAATTTTACTGACAAAAGCGACCTATGTCCCATTAGTATTTTTATCAATACTCTTCAAAACTTACTTAGCCGTCTTAACGGCATGAAAACACAAGAAACAAGCAGTTACCTATTCACATTAATAATAAGAAGTACTTTTACTTAAAATACAAAAATGTAATTATACACTTTGGTGGTGGTTTTAAGATAGTACTTTAATACCCTTAAAATAAATATTTACAAACAATAAGTTTGTGCACATTGAGACATTTAAAGTACTAAATAAGTCAAACAGGGGACGGGCATTATTTTCAATTTCAATTTTGTACTCTATATAATAATGGTATGATAAAAACATATTAAGTAGTAATACATACAACTCTGCTAAATTCACAATACTAGTCATGACTATAATAAATAAAAACAGTGCTTTAGAACACTAAAGTTTACAAAGACAGAACAAAAGAGGAACAAAAGCACCAATTGTGATAAAGACAGGAATAAGTACAGAGCTTTCATCCATTGAATATGGGTCTGGCTGTTTAGGTCCACTGGCTTTGCGGGATTTTGTGTTTGCTTCCTCGACTTCTTCTCTTTGTTCCTCAGCTTCATTTTCATGCCACACCAATGGGGGCAGTTTGGGTACCTCATCAATGGTACCTCTCATTACATACAATGCATTAATTTTGGGGTTATCTCTATAACCTTTAATAAATTCTACTTTGATTTTGCCTCCTCGAATATCAGATTCTTCTTCATTATAATACAGTTTACCATTTTTAATGGAGTATGGAATGTATTCATCATGAGCAACTCCTCGTCCGACTTTGTCAAATATATCTAAATCAGCAACAATAGTATGGTCCCCATTGAGAACCACATCAAACACTTTCATGTTGGGAGCACTAAAGTAAACTTCACTGAATTTCAGAACTAAGACGTAATCACCGTCTTTATTAGCAGGTATATCATAGCCGAAAGTGCTGTGGTGGTATCTTTCGGTTTGATAAAGTATTTCATCTTTTGGATTCACTCGTCCTATCATAACCAATTGCTTTCCGTAATCGGAAGCAGTGCCAACTCTGCCTTGCAATGGATCCTTTTCGTATTGAACTCCATAAATGTCAGTGTGAGCAGGACCTCCAGCGTTAATTGCATAAATAATTTCTCCTAATCCAGTTGCACTTCTAAGACATAAACACAAGATTGATGTAAAAATTAATAAAAGTGGCATTTTATAACGTTGGCTGTGGCGGAACACTTTTTTACTAAATTAAAAGTATTACACTAAGATATAAATGATTCGTGTTAAACCATAACTGATTAACACATTTCATAAAAATGGAGTACGTCGCATAAGAACAATATTATTTTCGTACAATTCAATCGTAAATGGAAGTCGAAACGACCCCGGCCCGCAACTTAAACTTTTTTTTTGTTGAAGTTCTCCCGTTTTAGGGAAGGCAAAGGGAACAATGCCCATACAGCCTAGTCTTTAATTAAATTTATCTTCTTTTTATTTTTACATTAGAATGTCGGTGTGACGCATTCTAATGTTTCTTGGAGTGTTTGGCACGAAATGTATCGAGTTGGCTTTTTCGGAGGTAGTCAACACTACAATAAAATTCTCACGTCCACTTGACCGGAATAGCGTATATTTTAATGATTCCGCTAATTCTTCAGTTACGCAGACAGTTGTTACACAAAACCACACCAATTTTATTTCACAATATCCACTATGAACGAATTTAAGAATAATTAAAATAAGACGCCAACCGCACTCGATGAAATCCCGCCAAAAAGCCCTATTTTTTTTTGTTGAAGTTCTCCCGTTTTAGGGAAGGCAAAGGGAACAATGCCCATACAGCCTGATCTTTAATTAAATTAATCTTTTTGTTTTTACATTTGAATGTCAGTGTGACGCATTCTAATGTTTCTTGGAGTGTTTGGCACGAAATGTATCGAGTTGGCTTTTTCGATAAGCTTCTGTGAGGTAGTCAACACTACAATAAAATTCTCACGTCCACTTGACCGGAACAGCGTATATTTTAATGATTCCACTAATTCTTCAGTTACGCAGACAGTTGTTACACAAAACCACACCAATTTTATTTCACAATATCCACTATGAACGAATTTAAGAATAATTAAAATAAGACGCCAACTGCACTCGATGAAATCCCGCCAAAAACTCCGCAACTTGAACTAACCCGACCAGTGTTGCCACCTTGGATTTTTTTAAGGCGCCAATTCAAAGGTAAAATATTGCCAGATTTCAAAAATTTGGATTTAAAAAAATACACCAGAATCCGCTAAATTACAATTACATCTCAGACAACAAAAAACCCTAATTTAAATAAAAAACCAGTGAATATGTATGAGATGCTACAGAAATAACTGTGTTCGTTATCCTGCAGTCGTTTTTAATTAGTATAATTTTGTTATTTAAAAAAAATGGCAATATTGTTTTTACTAACTTATAACTATTCCATGCGTTACCTTAGTAGTAGTAATAAAATAAAACCAGGTAAATATGTATTTACATTCATTATTTATAATCAAGAAATAAATCTTACACAAAATGTAAAATTTAAAATTCAATATTGTTAAATGTTACACTTCTATAACTTCATCGTCGTTCACAGACGCCGACACTTCTGTCGATGAAGCCGATGTCGAAGCTGAAGATGTTTGGTTGTGGTTGTAGTAGATTTTCGAAAGAGTATTTTGTGTTTTTTCAATGATATCTTTTGATTGCCGGAGATAGAATTTGCATTTTTTGTTTGTACTTTTTTGTTTCAGCATGTCTTCTCTACTACTTTTGCTAATAATTCTGCTTTACAAAATGAACAAAACGCCTTCGCATCAACACCTGCTAAAGGTTTAAGCCAAGTTTGGAATTAGTCGAGTGATTCCTATTCTTTTCTATACTTTTGTATGTAATTCCTTTTCTTGAATAGAGTTTCCATAAAACTAGTTTTTACGGGTTAATGCACGAAACTTTATTTATTTATTGACGTTTCGCAGCCTTTTCAGGTCTGCATCGTCACAATAATGATTTTTATTTAAAATTGTCGAGCTACCTTCGAAAGACTTATATTGAGCGTTCGGTTATTTCATTGGAAGATTTTTAAAATTTTATTGTCTATGTATGAATTTATAATTTAATTTACTTAATAAAGTATTTTATTTAAAATTCTTGTTTGTAATTTTGAGTTTATTTATTTATTTGACCCTAACTACCGTAAACTACCACCGGTTCCAAAATTGGGAGACCTTCCTGAGAAGAACCGGCGAAACAAACCCAAGAGAGGCTTTCTATCTCCTTCTTATGTTAAATTATGCAAACAAAAAGAACTAATAGTATCTGATGGTCTTGCAGTGTGTGCTCGGGGTTGGGATTTTATCTCCTGTATAATAGGTTCCCAAGCTGGTGGTATATACCAACCATCTTCCCTATTGAAATTTGGATATTTTTTAATCTCAATAGCCTCGCGCATCATTCGAGGAACGAACCGCCGCTCAGCTGCAAGGGTCTGTGGTCTATCAAATCTAATGTAGTGGTTTGGTCCCCCTAATGCATGTTCACACACTGCAGATTTATTTTCGCGCCTATGTTTCATATCTGCGATATGTTCTTTTACCCGAGTCCCTATACTCCTCTTTGTTTGCCCGATGTAGGAGAGCCCGCAGTCGCATTCAAGTTTGTAGACACCAGCAACTTGAAAGGGTATATTGCACTTGACCGGTCGTAGGAACTGGTTGATCTTCTTTGGCGGCTTGAAGTATGTATTGATTGAAGCACGCTTCAGAATCCTCCCAATCTTGTCAGTGACTCCTTTCATGTAAGGTAGTATAGCAGGTTGTCGGTCGACTGTGCTAGGTTTGACGCGACTGTGACGGCGGCGTGGTACATTCAGGTTATTATCCTTCAGTACTTGCTCGACATGCTGAAGTTCAGCTGCCAGGTGTTGTTCGTCACAGACACCCCGTGCTCTCTGAAACAAAGAGTTTCCTACGGCAGTTAATTGTTTCGGGTGATGGTGTGAGTCACCATTGAGGTACCTATCAGTATGAGTCACTTTACGATACACAGTATGGCTTAAACTTTGGTCAGGATTCCTGATTAATAAAATATCTAGAAAAGCTAGTTTACTATCTGCCTCTAACTCCATAGTGAATAGGATGTTGGGGTGTATAGAGTTAAGGTGATTTAAAAAGGCAGAAATTTGATCTGTTGGGAGGATTGTGAAAGTATCATCTACGTACCGCTTATATAGCCTGGGTGTGACAGGTGCTGCACTGAGAGCCCTCTCCTCGAAGTCTTCCATGAAAATATCGGCGACAACAGGTGAGACAGGGGAACCCATTGCAACACCCTCCATTTGTACATAGAAGTCATCCCCCCATAACAGGTAGCCAGAAGTAAGGCAATGCTCCAGTAATACTGCATATTCTATAGGCATATTATTTTCAAGTAGCTTCTTCTTAGTGATTTCAATGCAGTCCTGTACTGGTTCTCCCTGTCCTGGAATTTTGCTGTAGCACCACGCAGGATACCGTACGAAGAAATTATCTGTAACGTAGAGGATTGCTTAGTGAAAAACAACATGAGAAAGGAAGACATGGAGGCGCTGCGTCAAGACATTTCATCAGTGTTAAGACGGAGCAAACCTCCGAAATGAAACCTTCCTCGTGATGAATACCTTGCACTTAAGAACTTGCGAACTAAGCCAGAACTTACTATCCTTCGTGCAGATAAAGGAAACGCCACGGTAGTAATGGATACGTCAGATTACAACGACAAGATACTACAACTTCTATCGGATGAGAACACATATAAACTCGTGAAGAGTGATCCGACCGCCAAGATTCTCAAAAAGACAAGTGAACTCATCAAATCACTTTCCGAAACGTTGGATCTTGACATCAACTACCTAATTCCTGCATGTCCCAAGCCACCAAAACTGTATGGGTTACCGAAAATACACAAACCGAATGCTCCACTACGTCCGATTGTAAGCCAGATTGATTCACCAACATACCGTTTGGCTGAACACGTAGCACAGTTACTTTCACCACTGAGAGGTAACACAACAGCCTTTGTGAAAGATTCATACCATTTTGTCAATGAGATTTGAGATCAACGTCTCACGGACAATGAAATCATGGTCAGTTTTGATGTTCAGTCCTTATTTACATGCCTACCAGTACAGGACTGCATTGAAATCACTAAGAAGAAGCTACTTGAAAATAATATGCCTATAGAATATGCAGTATTACTGGAGCATTGCCTTACTTCTGGCTACCTGTTATGGGGGGATGACTTCTATGTACAAATGGAGGGTGTTGCAATGGGTTCCCCTGTCTCACCTGTTGTCGCCGATATTTTCATGGAAGACTTCGAGGAGAGGGCTCTCAGTGCAGCACCTGTCACACCCAGGCTATATAAGCGGTACGTAGATGATACTTTCACAATCCTCCCAACAGATCAAATTTCTGCCTTTTTAAATCACCTTAACTCTATACACCCCAACATCCTATTCACTATGGAGTTAGAGGCAGATAGTAAACTAGCTTTTCTAGATATTTTATTAATCAGGAATCCTGACCAAAGTTTAAGCCATACTGTGTATCGTAAAGTGACTCATACTGATAGGTACCTCAATGGTGACTCACACCATCACCCGAAACAATTAACTGCCGTAGGAAACTCTTTGTTTCAGAGAGCACGGGGTGTCTGTGACGAACAACACCTGGCAGCTGAACTTCAGCATGTCGAGCAAGTACTGAAGGATAATAACCTGAATGTACCACGCCGCCGTCACAGTCGCGTCAAACCTAGCACAGTCGACCGACAACCTGCTATACTACCTTACATGAAAGGAGTCACTGACAAGATTGGGAGGATTCTGAAGCGTGCTTCAATCAATACATACTTCAAGCCGCCAAAGAAGATCAACCAGTTCCTACGACCGGTCAAGTGCAATATACCCTTTCAAGTTGCTGGTGTCTACAAACTTGAATGCGACTGCGGGCTCTCCTACATCGGGCAAACAAAGAGGAGTATAGGGACTCGGGTAAAAGAACATATCGCAGATATGAAACATAGGCGCGAAAATAAATCTGCAGTGTGTGAACATGCATTAGGGGGACCAAACCACTACATTAGATTTGATAGACCACAAATCCTTGCAGCTGAGCGGCGGTTCGTTCCTCGAATGATGCGCGAGG